TTAAAAATAAGACGCAATGTCAAATTTAATTTTAAAAAAAATGTGTTTTGGTTCTATTGCAAAATGTGTCTTTTATGTGCGAAAGTATGTTTGTAAAGAAATAAAACTATAACCCACAAAAGAAAGATTTATTGAGAGTAGTGAAAGGCATACAGTGACATCAGAATTACAAATAGAGAACGGGTTATAGCAAAAACATGTCTGGACGTAGCAACTCAGACAGTTTTGTTTTTTATCGTAATCAATTTAACAAGGGGTCTAAAATGAAAGTCTTGAAAATGTCGTCTAAATCAGGGGTTCTTAAAATTGTTTGGCACCCTTGTCAAGCTAAAAAAAAAAAAAAATTATCGGCATGAAAAGAAGACAAAATAGTGCACATTTAATATTCAGTTATCTTTAATGCGATGAATGAAACTGTTTGGATGAATTTTGGGCTTTCCTGTCAACTACGGCCGGTAGACAACAGTAGACGGCAGGTTAGTCGGAGTTCTGTTCCTTGGCTACAGTGCAATTACGGAGTGGAAAAAGAGGGAACGAAACAATTGACACAATTACTGTGTGTTGGCGATGGACAGCGTAAACTGCCATGCTATAATCATACGGTTACAGTTTGGGTTAGGGTTAGGGTTAGTTTACAATTGTGTGCCAGGACGTGAGTCTCTCGAAGACAATGACAGTCGTCGAACTGACGCCGTAGAGCCAATAGTACATCATCATGAGTATTTTCTCGGTCGGCATATCGCAGTTGGCGAAGAAGGACCCGGTGCGAACGCTACACCGAGTATCGCAACGATGACAACGCCAAGAGTATCTGTCACAGCAGTACTGCCGCGGCGCTAACGACATAGGACGGTTGCACGAGCCACATACCTGCATGTTCCTTATAACTCTATGCTCAGCTAGCCACCGCAACCACGCAAGCTTATCGCTCATTAAGGCATACAGATCCAGAGGTGTCACATCTACGGCCACAAAGTCTTGCGGCGCAAGAACGTGGTCGCTAATGTGAGTCGCAGCGCGTTGTCTAGCTCTAGCAGCCATGTCGACGTCACTTTGTGTTGTGATTCGTGCCTTTTCCACTCCGTAATTGCACTGTAGCCAAGGGACAAGACTCCGACTAACCGGCTGTCTACTGTTGTCTACCGGCCGTAGTTTACAGGAGAGCCGAATTTTGCAATAATTTAATTTTAAATTCTCTCTATCATGAATGACCCTGCCTGAAGAGATTAAGCGCCGTGTTTGAAGATTTCCTAACCTGTGTGTATAAAGTTAGTTGCGTATCCTTTACAGGACGTTGCAGAACGAACCCTAACAGCCCCTGTCTGTTGTGTGGTTTTTCTAGGCATTTTACATCCAGTAGTTTGCCATTGCTCCCGGACGGTCGGCTTTCTTGATATCACTGTCGAAACCAACGCAAGGCGCATGGCCTGCAGCTGGGATCGAACCTGGCATCTTGGCATTACGAAGCGAAGCGTTCGCATCGACTTAGCCACCGAGCTGACAACCTGTGTGTACTAAATCAAAATGATTGCATTACAGAGGACTCTTTAATTTGGACAGAACCAAGCAGCTGTTAGCAACACGTCTATGGCATTAACGCATTACCCTTCCGGTGACTGTTCGTTCCCAACCGAAACAAAGCCAAACAAAGTGAGGTAGTTAGGATCATATTTTCTAAGTTTTCCTTGGATTTTCTTTATATTGTGAGTTATCTTTCCGCGAACTGAGGCAGGCCAGCTTGAATGGCTTAGGCTCGCAGCTGTCTACTGAGACAAGGTAACTTACTTCTCCACTGCACCTTAACGAATGCAGGTAGAGGAGCGGTCGCACCTTTAGATAATTACGAGGATAATTTCTGGGCACGTTGCGATCGGCATTTTATGTCTTACGAAACACGTCTTAGTGTGAAACAAACAAAAGACTTTTCGACAGTGGTGACAAAAGACAATTTAAATTTTATCTCTTAAGTACCTGCATGTCTTCTTTAATAATTTCACAATGTTTGACCGACTTTTCTTGATTACTGCCGCGGTACCCTTAGCGTAAGCTCGTGGCACTCAGTTTGAGAACCTCTGGTGTAAATCATGCCATTACCTTGTGAACACTCAGTAATGTTGTTAATGATTTCAAAAGTATTAACCACATAACATCACAGTGCAGAAGAACTTTAATCATGACTGTCTGAAGATGGCCATCCCACTTTTGATAAGCACAAAGGAGCAGCAACGTTCTGTTATCCTTTGGGCGGGGGTGGGCAACAGAGAAAAAAAAGATGGCACACCGAGTAGTGATTCCACAGTTATTTCTAGCTGTTATAAGTCTCGTACAGGAGACTCTTATTCCTTCTGTCGATCTTTCACATTGTCTGTTTTACCACATTTAAGGGCGGTGTAGACAGAGGGCCTTGACCCTGATGATGGAGGGCCGCCTGGCTAGTACTGTCGCCACTGACTGTGCCGGTTAGGATTTCAATGACCTCCCCCCAAAAAAATCTCACTACCGGCTCCAGCTGTTGCAATATTAAAAGCTAAAGTCGGACGTGGAAAAATTCATCACCAGTGCTCGAATTCGGGTCTCCCGCATAGGAGCCCGACGTTGTACTCACTTGACCAGCCGCTGCTGTATTCAGTGTGATCGACATTGCCTTACATATGCACATCAGTCAAGGTTAAGTACCCCACATTATACATGACGTGGTACACTACCACAACACACACGCACACAAAACCACCTCTCCTTCTTGGTGCATCATTGAGCGGCCATCTGTAAACAGTCATTAATTTGTCAAGCACGTGATATCCCGTGCTCAACACTCTTGACATTCTTAACAACAGCAATCGGTTACAAAACAGTGGCATGATTGTTGTAACTTAAATCATAGTGTTAAGTTCCTAATTTGAAGCAACTTTGTGTTTGAATTAACGATGTATCAGACGTTACTGACAGTATGTGAGACAGATGATTAAAGCCAGATATGATTATCAAAGTTACACACTGAGTGTTGTTTGTTTGCTTGTGTTCACCAACTGTAAACGCTGGCGGAAAGTCCTGCTTGTACGTCAATTTCTAGACCTTGGTTTTGTTTCAGGACTTGAGATTTGTGTGTACATCTGTTTTAAAGATCTGACTTTTCCTTGTTTGCAATCTATGTAAAACTCAAGCTGGCACCCCCAACCCCCCCCCCCTCCCCCATTTACACAGTGTTACACACTACCTCACTTCAGGCCTAGCTCACTTCTGATTGGTTGACATTGAGTCACGTGTCCTTGTCACAAGGTTACGGGGGTGTTCCTCAATGCCGTTTATTTAAAGCGTGTTCTATATTTCAGCATGCCAGCGCTTTTTGACACTCCAAAAACATCGACAAACTGGGTCTAACACAAAACCCTTCTAGAGAGTGAGTAACCTTATGCCACAAGCATTTTCTTTCTCGAAAAAAACAAAAAACCCGTAAATACAAGACATCCCGGAAAAACAGAGCAGCACACCTATAACTCCCAGCAAGGTAGACCAGTCCTACAAATTTATCAGTGAAACGTGAGCTACTTTGTTTGGGGAGACTTACGTTTGTTTAAATACACTCTGTTAATTTCTCGCCTTTCCGTCGGCTGCACTCCAGCTTCGAATTAAACGTCGATTCTATTTTTGAATGACTATGTCCAATGTTAATCTTTTGTATCATCAAGCAGATTGTGCTATTTAGCAGGACTCTCGATAGACAGGTAACTGAGCCAGTCCTGGTCACTAAGTTGGCACCGAGACCGTTGGATCTACTCATTCTCCAAATGTTTTATAGACTTTATTAGCCATACAATAGGCGTGGGCTGACGTGTTCCATGGGAAATCTGAAGAATGCATCCACAGGGGTCTGTAGGCTCCAAAATCCCCTGCCGGTTGGGTTTAAGCCAGTGGCTCGCAACCTTCCTAATGTCGCAAACCTTTCTTACAGTTCGCTCATATTATGGCGACTAAAAAACAATTTTTTTCCTTCATAATTTTAATAAATATTTGTTTTCCGATAGTCTTCGGCCACCCATGCAAAATGGTCGTTCAACCGACGTGTGGCGGGTGGCTTGTACTGGGCGTGCGGTGCCCATGATAAATTATGGGTATTCTCCTATTTCCAGCATTCCTATAAATTTCCAGCACTAATCTCCAACTCTCTCATGCCTGTGACCCAAATCACGGAGTATAACTTCAGAAGAAGACCAAAGGTCAACGCCCTGGTCATCATTCTTATTCAGTTTTTTTTGGCTCGTTTACTGCAGGTCAGAAAATATTATCCAAGAGGATCTCTTGCCGTGATGCTACACAGACTAAAAGCTTATGTCCTTGACACACATTTCTCTAGCGTTCATAAGAGTCACCATGGTCTAGATGCTAGACGCTCGTCTGCGGATTCAAAGGTCGTGGGTCCAAATCTGAAGAAAGAGAGATATTTTTCAAAAGTAACATTGGCTCCCAGGTCAACTCAGCCTTAAAAGGGTACCAGATAAATCCCTGGAAAGTAAAGGTGAATGGCGTTTATTAAATATAGATCTAGCCCTCTATGCCCAATAGGACTGAAGGCGTGGAGGGAGTGGGTGGGGGGGGGGGGTGGGGGTTAACAAGTCCTTTACTTTACCCTTTTTAAGCTTTCCTGTTGTCACGGCATGCTTACACGTCTACTCATATTGTGCACAAAGAACGCTGATTATCTCTCTACACATGTGTAACAAATACTTTTTTGTTAGAATTTGAAAGTTTTTTTTTACATGCACATTATTGTTTACTCTTAGTAATATAATTTTACTATTACATTTATTTTTGAAATATATGTTTAACTAGTGTTTTTTTTTTTTTTTTTTTACTGCATGTGTAGTTTGGTCATTGTTATTTAAATTATCCTTATGTTTATTTGGTATTTCCTACAGGTAAGGAATCTGTTAAAGAAGAAAATGCTGTATTCGAATCAAAACGTAGCAAAGGCTGTTCTTGTTTTAATCTTCTTTTCGGTTGTCATGACAGTCGTCACATTGTTAACCACTAACATTGAACGTAACAGCAATGGCAGTCTCAGAAACGTCGTCTCGAAAGATAAACCCACATCGCCAGATAACATCGATGAGGCACTTGGATTTTTCTTCAACGGTGCCGAGTATTTGTTGTCGGCTGTGAGGTCCGCTGTGGATGGCAACTCGACAGTTGCGCCAGCTGTGTCTCATTCCTTGATTAAAGTGAAGGATCGCATGCAAATCTTATTGTCCGAGTTTGAACATCACTTACAGGGAATAGAAATTAAAAAGCTGTTATCGATGCCAATCATCAACAATCATAATTTCTCGTACAACCACAATCGTGAAGACATCTGCTCTCAGAAAGACATAAAGATAATCTTTGTAGTACCGTCTGCTCCTGGTAACGTTGAGAAACGCCAAACTGTACGAAACGGGAACACAGGAGAGTACGTCAAAAACAATACACATAATGCAACTTTATTATTTTTCATTGGCAGACCTTCTAGAAAAGAAAATTATACAGCCCTTCAGAATACAATTGACGAAGAAGTTCAAGAATTCCAAGATATTATCCAAGAGGATTTTGAAGATGTTTACAGCAACAACAGACTGAAGTCCGTATCAATGTTGAGATGGATAAGCACATACTGTAGCAACGCTAAATTTGTCATTCGTTCAGACGACGACGTCAATGTTAAAGTTACTTCAGCTGTAGAAGCGGCTGAAAGAACTGCACAGAAGCTGAACAACTTCATAATAGGACATAAGCGGGTGGAAGATCGACCCGCACGCAACGTCGGAAACAAATATTACCTCTCAAAAAAGGAGTATCCACAACAGATGTTTCCTCCTTACCTCCTTGGTGGGCTTCTGGTCTACCCCGTGAGTACAGCCAAACTTCTGTACCAAGCCGCGCTAAGAGTGGAGCCTATTTGGCTAGAAGATGTGTATATCACTGGAATTTGTGCCTCAAAACTCTACATCCCAGTTCTCTCAGATCCCGGAGTTGTTTTTCAACATCGGAAGCCTAAATAGATAAAATGTTTGTTTTTTTTTTTTTTTTTGACTTCACTTATGACTAAGGCATTTATAATTTATTCATCGCTGAGTTTATTTCTAATGAAATCCCTGTTTGTAGAGACTCGGTTCCCATGGGTCGACCCACTCTAAAATGGGTATCAGGAAACGTCACTGGAAGTAAACATGACTAGTGTGACATTGAAAATACATTTCTTCTAACTCTTCTTCTTCAACCATCATCATTGTCCTTTTCTTTTACCCTCCTCGACAGTTTCTTCTTCTTTCCTCCGCTTCCACTTCCCCACCTCCTCCACTTCCTCCGTCGTTTTGTTGTTGTTGTTGCTGTTGCTATTTTTCTTCTTCTTCTTCTTCTTCTTCTTCTTCTTCTTCTTCTTCTTCTTCTTCTTCTTCTTCTTCTTCTTCTTCTTCTTCTTCTTCTTCTTCTTCTTCTTCTTCTTCTTCTTCTTCTTCTTCTTCTTCTTCTTCTTCTTCTTCTTCTTCTTCTTCTTCTTCTTCTTCTTCTTCTTCTTCTTCTTCTTCTTTTCTTCTTCTTCTTCTTCTTCTTCTTCTTCTTCTCTTCCTCTTCTTCTTCTTCTTCTTCTTCTTCTTCTTCTTCTTCTTCTTATTATTATTATTATTATTATTATTATTATTATTATTATTATTATTATTATTCTTTTTCTTCTTCATCCTTACCTTTTTTTTATCGTAATCATTTTTACCAACATCATAATTATCTTCTTCTTTCTCTTCTTTCTACTTCCTTGACCCCTTTCTCATTCTTTCCCTCCACCTCCACTTCACCCCCTCCTCCTCCTTCGTGTAGTTGTTGTTGTTCTTCTTCTTCTGCTGCTGCGTTGGCGCGCTGTGTTGTGGCTTACCTCTAAGCTATCAGTCCTGCGCCTTACGACCTAAACACATGTGATTTCTACAGAAATGTAAGCAGTAACATTTCTATTACCTATTTGTAAAGGAGTAATGTGTGTATTACTTTTTTTCTGTCCCAAGTGGGCCCTGGAATTCATAGGGGGACAATGTCCATCAAGTGGTAATTGCTCTACTTAAATATTACACTACAGACAGTTCCAGAATTCCTGCTGAACTTTAAAAACCTGTAACTCGGTGATTGATGTAAGTTGTTGAAATTTGACATGCAACATGTTAATAATCATAGTCTTGTCAGATTGTTTGGATTTTTTTGTGTGTCAAAAAACTTCCCGTTTTTATTTTGCCTTATGTGTGTGTTGTATGAAAAAAACAGACAGGACTCAAAGCAAACAGTCAGCACGCTTACAGTAACTGGAGTAAATTGAGCAAGCGAAACGTTTCAAAACATGAGATTGCACTCGTGTCATTTACGTTTTACTCTCAGATGGTCACCTCCAGCACAAGTTTTTGGTGAGTTGCAGATTTGTCATTGAGTGAGGAATAGGCTATGAAAATAATCACTATGCGTCTCTACACATGTGAAATAATTTTCAAACAATCTCCAGGCATATTTCAATTACTGTGTCTTCTATATAAATTCTATAAATTCTATAAATTGTTAGTCAAACAAAGATCAAAGCAATTCACCGCTTTAAGACAACATCAGCGTGTGTGGAGTAGTAAATAGTCATAACATGGGGAATCTAAGGTCAACTGTAACAGTTTGTGTTGTTGATTCGAACAGGAGTTGTTTTTGATATTTGTGAAAGTTTGGCGGCATGAGTTTTGGAAGGCACTATAGCGCAGCGCCATGTACTCACTACGCCCAAAGGTCAAATATAGGGATACCTTGCAGTCACAATATTCGTGGAAATAAATTATTCCGGCTATTCTGAACAAGGCTCCCTGTCGCACAGGACACATCGTGGGGGTGGGGGGGGGGGGGGGGGTCGAGGAGGGTTAGCACCGTTTTAATTCAAAACTATTGAGGACCCTGATGCAAATTACTATCAGCTGATTGTTTGAACCCTATGGTATTCGTGTGTGCTATTAGAACAATTTCACTCATTGAATTACACAGACTTTGAATGACAAAAACTATGTTCATTTAAGTATAAATTAGTTGAGTAGTATATCTTCATCACACTCTGTATATAATGCAATCTCAAGTTTAAAGATAACAACGCTGGGAAAACTTATCGACTTATACTCGGAAAAAGTATGGTACGTTTGCTTAACTGGAGTGCGTCTTTAAAATGGGAGAGTTGGAGGGGGAAGAGTGTTAGAGGAGAGAAAACACCAGACATGGAAAGACAAACATATTAGATTTGATTGACAGTACACGAGACAGAAGGCTGTGGATTGACACACATATCAACGTCACACACTATGGAACCAACCAAGAAGAATCAGATAAAGGTAAAGGTAAAGTCAGGAGATGTGAACCAGCGTCATTGCACACTGTTATAAACCACAAGTGCTCTGCCACCAGCACAGACAGCTGATAAGAATTGTCCGCATGTGTCGCCGTTCGCACGTAACTCTGTAGCTACAGCGACGTTCCTCCATTTACCCCAGAGTGTCAACACTGGTACCCATTTCCTAGAGGCTGGGTGAACCCCGGGAACCGCCCGGTTTCGAACACCGACCGTGGGCTGCAGCGAGTCGCAGCTGGATTTGAAAGCGAGCCTCTTATCGACTACGCTAACGCGGCCCCCTAAGTATAAGATGCTTAACTGAACTATACTGTTGATGGGTGTTTTGGTCAGTACTATCATCCACCTATACATTCAACGGCATTTCCTCGAAACCATTTTGAGCTGGTTCGTCGTGGCAGAACAAAATCTGAATAATGTTGATTTGAATTTAAAGACGTCTGAGAACTCTGACAGGAATCTAGCCACATGATGTATGTAACATATGAATTCGTTTTCTCACCTTTAATTTATTGCATAGGATGTCCTTTATTTAAAAAAAATGTAGTCCTTTTTGTTTTTTCTCTTTTCTAGTCTGGCCTTTGTCTATGTAATACATCTTCCATTTGATGTTAACCATGTGATTTTGTTTCAAATTTTGTACTTGCCACAAATTTTTGCCGTTGACTGTTATTGTACAATTATGTATTACGTATTTATAAAAAAAAAAAAAAAAAAACTGTCACTTATTCCACCCGAATATCGTTTTTGTGCAGTCAACAAACACAAGCATTATTATGTAGAGTAATCACCTTACCGTGGTCAGTTTATCTTTGTCTCATTTAGACAAGCCTTGCTGGTTATATAGAGGTCTAAAAACAACAACAACAAAATACTTTTTTTTTTTCTACGAATACAATTTTCTTTTTACATATTTTTAAACACAATTTCTACAGAATTTTATTAATATTTTTTAGATAATTATTTATGCGAACTTGTTGCAGCCATATTCAATTGAATAAAATAATCCGCTTCATGGGCGTCAACTTCCATTATTTATTGAATCAATTAAATGTTAAAATTTTCCTACCTCAACTGGTTTAGTTTACAACGGTAGGGACCTCAGTGCCTAATATATCTTAGGGCCCAATTAGGTCCAACTTCAGCATTCTACCTCATTAAGTCGAAATTCGGCTTATTTAGAAAGGGGAAGAAAAGGGTGGGTGGCCGTAAATCCTTAGGCTCAAAGACCCCCCCCCCCCACCCCCAATGCCTACGCCACAAAAGTGGCAAAATAAAAGCAGCATTTGGCTGTTTGTACCTTCCTCAGTATTTAATCTAACAGATGAGAATCGCAGTGATTGCTTAGTTTTTTCAAAATAAACAATCAAATTATGTTATAACCAATCGGATTCATCCCTCTCGTTAAAGGATAGGTTTTATTTTTTAGTGCTGCAATCAAACCAGAAAAGGCGGCTGTTTTATGGTGCTCTCTGAACAATAGAATTGTAAAAACTAATGTTCCAAGTCTCACAATTAATTATAGAAGCATCAACAAAGGAAGCAAACTGAGATGCTTGTGCATCACTTTCGAGAGAAACCTTTCCTTCAGGGATCATGTGGAGGCAGTTGCGGGTAACTGTCAAGAAGGGGTCAGTGCAGTTAAGGTTGTGGCAATGTGGACATGAACAAAGAATGTTGTTCCCAGTATTCCCACATTCGATCCTGTCAGTGATAGATTATGGACTTTTAATTATCTTAGGGCCCGCTTAAGCATAATCATTTTAATGCTTATCATATCAAAGTGTCAGCAAAACAAGACTTTAACGCATACAGATAAAGCTATGATGGTAATTCTGGGATGTACAAGAGATACCCCGGTAGTATGTATGCAATATATACTTGCACTACAGACTAATACAGCTAGACTCAGAGTGCTGCAAGCAAAGTCATATCTCAGAGAAGATATGAAACACCTCCAACATGAAGTCTTGGACAGAGCTAAGGGTCACAGACTGAAAAGAGGAAGGTCTTCTTGGATAGCGCAAGCTGAAGACACAATAAGAAATGTTTGCAGGCTTGATAACATTGTGCGAGGAGAGGGATGGATCAGAATGTTCCAGCAAAAGTCAGACTTGTGTAAGGTTCTGAGTGCATGGGTTGTGCAGAATCAGAAGTTTAACAACTGATTCATGACAATTCTCGCCCAGGTGATATGATAATTTATAAAAATGGCTGACTGATTGACTTTCTACCCCACCAGGACATCACACAAGCGATAAACACCCGATGACACAAAGTGCCACCATGCGGTTGAGGATCGCCGTGGAGGGGTCCCAGAAACCGCGTTCAGACATTTGGCCATATTTATGGCCTGGCTATTTTGCGGCTCCCGGCAAAAGCCAGGGTGGAGCTTCAAATAAAAAAATTTCATCCTGAAAAGGACGATAGAGAATAACAAAGCCTGGCATATGACATTACAAAATCTAGTTTGGATATGGGGGCTGTGGCAATAAATGCAGCCTTTCGCTGGCTTGAGAATTAGCTGCATACGCATGTCGTAATTATAACCGACTCAAAGAGCATGTTGAGGAAGGTAAAGACCGGTATGCTCCGTGAAGAGTTTCAAGCATCGCTTCCGGGGTCTCAGGTAGTTAGCAGCCTTTGGATTTT